CTACACTGGACTCATGTTCACTTCAAACTGCCAAATTGCGTCCCAGGATTACAGAATATGTTTTCTCCTTAATACACCAATTAAGCCAAAGCCAGGGATGTTGTGACTTTTCCAAGACCATATACCAAAGTCAATTCCTGGTCAATTTAAGAGTCTTAAACATTTGGTAAAAATCAGAAATGTGTGTGTGTTCCTTCAAAGAATTAAAACTTAAGTTTGAAAGCAACAGAACAAACCATAAAGCAATAGATCCTTTTGTAACAATCTGAAAATATAAAACTGCTCTGTAACAAAATACAACTCAAATGGAATTGTAAATGACACACAGAATGTTCATTATAACTAACACCAGGGTTAATATTTAAGTCACACAACTCCCTCACATATAAAAGGAACATGTACCAACTTCACTAAATGAGCATATTTCCCCAACAAAAAAACCAAAAGTGATAGGAAATATATGGGGAAAAATTCATTCTCTCAAATGAAAAAATTCAAAATAAAGTAGCCATCAAAGCCAGCCTGGGCTAGATTGTGAGTTCCAGGCCAGTCTGAGTTACACAGTGAGACCTTGTTCCAAAACAGAGAAAAGGGTACAGAAGGATGGAGGGAAGAAAAGGAGGAAAGAAAGGAAGGAAAGAAAGGAAGCAGCCATGAGGTACCATTATTTATCTCCTAAAAAAATTTGCAAATGATTTTCCTTTTCTAAATATGATATGCTGAGCAGCTTGTGGTAGCAGTGGCACTTTGACACTGCTGTCAGCAACGTTGCCTGGCAGTTTGCCCTCCTTACGTGGTTGCAGTTGAGTTCATGTTCAGAGTCAGAAAAGAGTTCAGGTACTTTGCCCCAGGTACTATAGTAGTTTGCTAGGGCTGTCTTAACAGGGTTCCATAAACTGAGTTATTTTAATGACAGATCTTTATTTTCTTTCAAAATTCTGAAGACTGGAAGTCCAATACCAGGGTTGGTTTCTTCTGAGGCCTCTTGCCTTGGCTCATAGACCTTTATCTTCTCCCTGTGTTGTCTCGTGGTTGACCTTAATTATATGTGTGTGTCTTGATATTCTGTTCTTATAAAGACACCAGTTATAGTGGGTTAGAAATCATCCTGGTAACCTCATTTAACCTTTATTGCCTCTTTAAAGGCCCTGTCTCCAAATACAGTCAAGTTCTGAGGTATTGGGAGTTAAGACTTCAACATAGGAATTTTTTTTTGTTGGGAGTGACACAGTTCAGTTCACAATACCCCAAAATGTCTCTCCTGATAATTTATCGTGTGGAAATAATTCAAATAAAGAAGAAAGTTGTGCATAAAAAACATTCATTGTAGCATTTCAATAATCTGAAACAATTACTAATAGGTGAAATTTTATAGCACATGTTAAGTAACTGGTAACATCCATTAAATAGACTATTTTTGAGCCATTACAAAATGTAAGAATAAAACTATATAAAAATATTCTTAGCATATATTGAGAATACAAATACCACATGATCCATTGTGGAAAACATCTCTGCAAATGGATGGTTGCTAGAGAGCACAAGAAGGCAATGTCATTCTCTCATGGTGGTCTAGATTTGGATGACTTCTATCTTTTGTCAAACTACATTCATGTTTTTCTTTTTTTCTAAAGTGGTTAAAATGCATAATGGATGGTAAAAACAGAACCAGGCATCTGTGGTAATAGTACCAGATTTTTAGTACCTTTAGTTAGAATTTTAGTCAAAAACAAGGAAAGTAAAGAAAACTTCAGGCCAAATAAATCCAGCAGCTGAGCAGTGAGGTGATTATGTCAAGTGCCTGCCAATGCTATGGGACACCTGGCACTTGGCTGTGCTGAGGGAAGGGCACCTGGCCTTGGTGCCCTGGCAACAGGTGGCCTGGTGTGTGGAGAGGACTGTCCTGGCTCCAGCCTGGGGCTGTCCATTTTTCTCTGACCCTCAGACTCTACTTTCCTACTTTCAAATGCAGTTGTTGGAATCGGTCACACAAAACCCATTTCTTCCTTAATTCTTTCATTCTGTTTTATTCCAGATATATTCACAGTAATGGTCGCTAGTGTTCTTCTTGCAAATAACAATTATAAAGTATATTCTGTCCATTTTGCACTTCCTGCAATAAACCGAACCAGGCAGAAAAATAGAGTAGTTGTTTATTAGAAGCTGAACCAAAATTTACCCACAAACCTTTCCCTGACCACTGCCCAAGCTCACTGTGGTCATTTCCATGACTGCAGCCTTCAGCTTTCTCAGCCCAAACTGTGAACAGCAAGCTTTTGGAGAAGAGGCAGCTTGTCCTTCCCCTGCCCATCCCTGCTTGCTCCCTGCCAGGATTTGGGCAGCTCATAGAAAGCTGGGTCCATCCCACCAGAAACAGACTTGAAGGATGTCACAGACCAGGAGGGGAGTGAGAAGAGCAGCCATGCTGGTGTTGACAGACCTGTCTCTTCCTTTAGCTAGTGGGATCTATGGCTCCCTTCCATGGAGTCTGTCAGGGCCCCAGAGGAGGGTCGTGAGTAAACCAAAAGAAAAACAAAGGTGTCCCAGCCTTGAAAACTTATTCAGCGACACAAAGAAAGAAGTACCTTGAGGTGTTTAGACCTGAGCCTTTTATCCATGGATTTCATCAAGCAGTTGCCTGTGGCATCCTAGCACATATCCTGTGCTCTCCTAGAGGCATAGATTGAAGAATTCTTTATTTTTAAGGTTGAACCAGAATAACAGTAAACTAGATGCCCTCCGGTTGTGTACATGTCTTTGAGTGAGTGAATGCTCACATATGCACACACACGGGCAGCAGCATAGAGTGAAACAGTGTGGTCTGGAGTGATTCATACATTCTTGTACTTAATCCACAAATCTTGGCTCTCTCCTTGCCAGTGGTCAACCACTCTGGGAATGGGGTGCAGGGGTGAATAAAGACAATGAGATCTTCACCCTTGAGGAGCTCGTGTTCTGAGGGGAACAGAGTAAACAAGAAACTCATCAGAGATGAGCTCCTAGTCCTGCTCTATCACACAGTAGCCACATGCCATTCATTTATTAAATGAGGTTAGAATTGAATGACATTCACTTGTTAAATGAGGCTGAGAGGTGACATGCCTGTGGGGTCTAAGATGTGAAGGTGTGCAGTCTACCCCATAGTGGCAAGGCAGCAGCTGTGTGGGATTTAAGATTCATGTTTTTAGTTGTAGAAACGATGGAGGAAAGCTCTTCACAGCTCCCAGGAAGCTCTGCAGAGCTTGGTGGAAGCTCTTGTGGCCCTGTAAGCAGGAAAGCTAGTCTCATGCACCATTTGCTTTTCCTGCCACATGGCCTCCAGAAGCAATCAAAGCAATCCCAAGTGGAATCCAGTTAAGTATCTTCCTTGGTCAAATGTGGGTGAGTAGTATGTGCAAGAGTCATGAAGGTCACCCTAGGTAGGCAGAGACACTTCTTGATGCTAGCATGTAGCTCTTGTGGGAGAGCTACTGAGACAGGGTCTTTATCATATACTTGTGGCATTTACAAAACTATGACAGAGTTTAGTAATGTAGGTTCATTCAGCATTTTAATGACCATCAACTATGGGATGCTGACACAGGAAGACAATAAAACCCTCATACCCTCAAGACTTTCCCATCTGACAGGAGAGGCAGACATAGAAGTCACCATAGTGCAGTGTGAAGTTGTGTGCGTCCAGTGCCTAGGGGGCATGGAAGAAGGAGCAATGAGTTTGTCCAAGAGAGCTAAAGAAAATCCCATCAAGAAAGTGGCATTGAAGGTGACATTTATGTTGGGTTTTAAGTAATTCCTAGGTTGTAGGGAAAAAAGACACCATCATCAGTGGCAATATAACTTTTGTCCTCGGTCCTTCTCTTGTTTTAAATCCTGCAGCCAGGAGACACAGTTGACCTCATCTTCAGTCACCTGTTTGTCACAGAATATGCATAAAGAGTACATTGTATACAGTTTTATAATATAGTTCTAAACAATAGTTAACTGGAATGCCACATCAGTTTTGGGTTTTCAGTAATCAAAAGTATTAAATGTGTACAGTGACATTAAGGAGAATCTGTCCTGAAGTTATTTCATGACACCTAATATAAGTGAGAATTTCTAATATGTGATCAGTGTTAATGTGATGCCTTACAAAAATGTAGATACTAATATAAAACAGAAAAATATAAACTAAATATGAAAGCCATGGGAAACCATATGTAAACTAAAAAGGTTAGACCAGGAAGAAAGATAGGACAGAGAATGTGCAAGCCAGAAGAGCCTCTAAATGTTTTTAAAAGGGTGATATGGGTGCTGAGTTTCTTAGAGGCTTAAGCGAGAATAATTTAAACCCACTGTTGGTCATTCTGCTTATTATGTCAGTGGGGTTTCTGGACTTTTCTTTTCTCCCCTGAGCAAAAAAAAAAAGGTTTTCCTATTCTGAAAAGTTCCCATCCCCTCCATGGATCTGCCTTCAAGAGAGAAGTGGGGGTTACAGAGTATAGACCATGATGAAAGGACAGGTAGATGATAAGTGTGGTTGTTAAGAGCACAGACCTTGAAGTCAAGAATGACCTAAATTCGAGTTTCAGCTCTACAACTGACTGAGATGTTCAGCAGAGTTCTTGCACATCATTTCCTTATGTGTAAAATTGAGAGGCAAAAGTGCCAGTTTCACAGGTTGAATTGGGAGGGCTCAATGAAGTAACGATGTCCTTGTACAGTGCTGAGCACGTCTGGTGCTTGATATGTGGTGACTGGAGCAACGATTAAAGCAGCATCTTGGTACATGGCAGTGTCTCCTTATGCTAAAGGAAACTAAGTCTGCTGCCCAGTGTCTGTGGCCTCAGGTATACACGTCTACCCAGGCACTTCTTGGAGCAGCTGCTGTTAAACTGGGCAAAGGTAGGTTTGATGATGAAGGCCAAGAGGCTAAGCATAATAGCCCGCTAGGGGGCAGTGACCCTGGGGAAAGGAGGACAAAGCGCCCACTCATGTTTTTCCTGTCTTCTTTCTTGAAGGTGAATGATGCCAACTGTGACCAGGAACTTCTTTCCTTGCTCCTGGATGCCAGGCTGCTGGTGAAGTGTATCTCCACTCCCTTCTATCCGCACATCATTGGCCACCTCTTGGCCAGTGTCCAGCAAGGGCGCTGGGATGTGAAGGAAGTAGTTCAACACCTGCGGGAGGCTGGTCATGAAGCTGAAGCTGGGTCACTCCTCCTGGCCATGCAGGGAACTCACCGCGCCTTGAGAACTTTCAGCACAGCCCTCAGCGCAGCACAGCACTGGGTGTGAGCATACCCACCTGAGGCTCTGCTCCCACAGAATCGAGTATCAGAGCTGCTATGTGCTGCTCCCAGAAGTGGTGATTGTCCTCAGAGCTTCCAATAAGTGGCAAATAAAGCTGTATGTAAATGATGAACAGCCTGTCATCTTTAAAGCTGTTTTTCTTTTTTCTACTGACTGGTTAGCATACTTTTCTAATTGACTCACAATTTTTTGTCTTTTTTTTTTTTAACTGTCTCCTCTGGATAGAAGTATCCAAAACTGCAGTTCAGAAAATTAGAATTGGTGGTGGGCTGTGTGAGAAAGGGAGAGAATGATGTGTGGCACACCCAGCAGTTGGGTCAGCTTCCATAGCATGGAGGAAGGATGGCCTGGATTCAAGGCTCATGCTGGTGTCTGTGGCAAAGCGTTTCACCTCTCTGAATCTTATGTCTGTCGTGTAAAAATAAGGGCTATATTATTCATCCCACAAAGCTGTCAAATATTGTGTGAGGCTCTGTTAGATACCTATGAGGGCCTTAAGAAATAGTGTTACAGTCCATGAATTTTGACTGTGAGGCACAGCCAGATGATCAGCACCAGCACATGAGGGCCACTAATAGATTAGGGGCCACCACACTTTGTCAACATCGACATCTTAAGGTTGACAAATTTGCATATCTGTGAAAGCACAGAAGGCATGTTCTCTGTGATGGAGGGCAATGATCCTGACACAAAACTGCTGCAGAAGTGCTCTTGAGGACTTGCTCACACCAAATGAAAGCCCCAGAAACACCCTAGGGGAGAAGAAGAGCATCCACACCTACATGGTGGCCATTGCGATCAGAGGCATCCACCTAGATTAAGATAGAGAGCCCTTTTATCCCTGTCCCAATGACATAATTTGGAGGGGAGAGTAGCTGGGAATTGATAGGTTTTGTCCAGGGAGATGAGATAATGTTATGTAGGATAATTCTATCATAAAGGGTAATTTTAAGTAATTTGAAAAGGCTACCATGTCAATTTTCACAGTTGTTCTGTTAAAGCCACCAGGCTGAATATAACATGGCTCCCTGTGGGTCTCTGCCATATAGCATATTGGGAAAGCAGGGTCTCTACATTTTAGGACACCCACTCCCACCAGTGCCATACACATACCTGTTTGGCTCCACCCTCTGTCTCAGAATACTACTGCCTCACCCAGCAATCCACATCACCATTAGCTTCCCCTCGTTTCTACCCTTCTGGATGTAGCTACAGGGTTTTCTGACAAGAAATATTTGGTCACTTTTGGATGATGATAAGCTCACTCCCCCCAACTGTGACATTTTCCATTCCAGGATTGGGATTCCTGCCCAGACCTTCAGCAGCACCTGGAATTTGGGGAGGTCTTGTACAGTCTCCAAAATACCTCAGAGGAAAGGGGAAAACATATTTCTTCCAAACTTGAGAGCATCTGCCCAGCCAGACTCAAAAATGCCTTTCAAGAAAGCACTCCAGTGGCACCAGCTATATCCTATTCAAGGATCAAGTCCCTCCCAGGAAGCACACCAACTGGTAACTTGTCCTTTCTCTAAACTTGCAGCAGACTCCATCACTTCGGGTAAATGAGAGCAAGCATATAGTGAACAATATTCTGCAATAACAGAATCTCTATAGAGACCTTTTTCTTCAGATTAAAGTATTGTAGGTCTTAGGTATCAGTGTAACATCCTGACTGTAGGTTAGTAAACTGGCCCAGAGGGCAAAAGTGACTTGTTCAAGGACAACAGTGAATCATAGGTCCCCATATTCTCAGCCACCTACTCTACAATCCTTATGAAGAAGGGATCCCCTGTAGAAACTACATTGCTTTGATTCATGTTCAAGCTTAATATCAGAAACCAAATGTTCAATGTTGAAGCAGTTTCTATGGTTAAAAAAAAAAAAAACAAGAACAGAAAACAGAGAATTCACTGTAGATTCCTACCAGTTTCATAAATACTCCAGAATTCCAAGTTGGTCTTTATGTTGGTGTTGAGAATGTCAACCATAAATGCTCAATGAAGTAAGATAATATGTTGTCTTTTCTGTAAAAATAAGAAAGAACAATCCCATGGGTTATCCCAAACCTTTCTCTTTAAAGTGAAGCAGAGCAAGATTTAGTGTCCCTCACTCAACCTCAGATTCTCCAACATGGCTTCCTGGAGTGTATACCCAAAGGGGAGTGGTGACATTTGAGATCAGATAGCACAGGTGTGACTTTGAGACCTCAGATAGGCCACTTAGCTCTGAGCCTTGGTTTTCCATAAATAGGACTAACATTGCCTTCCTACGTTACTAATTAATGATAAATAATTTGCTCAGACACAAAGATAGTAAGCAATGGGACCACGGTGGAGAGTGGATTATGAGAAGCCTATGAGAGCTGGACATAAGCAAGGTGAGATGCAGCTCAGCTGCTTTTCCTAAGATGTTTCTGTAGGCTAAGATTGGTACAGCCCTGGCCACAGAAGAGGAAAATGCGTAACAGCTGCTTTTCCTAAGTTGTTTACATTCAGAGAAGCAGGAATGCAGGTTCTATTTACAATGTCACACCCTTCCCTGAGAACCGAGAACTCCCCACTGCTCCACCTTGTTTACCATTGGGTATAAAAGACTCACTGAAGGAGGATGGAGGGCTTTTGCTTTTGCTTTTGGCTTTTGGGCTTTTGAGGTTTTGGCTTTTTGATGTGGGAGGGTTTTGGAATGGAAAAGGATTGCTGAAGGGAATAGGATTGCTGAAGGAGAATTGCTAAAGGGGAATTGCTAAAGAGGGGTTGATAGAAAGTCTGCACCAAGAACATTACACATAGGCTTTAGAAAAGCTAAGCTAAAGAAAAGTTACAGAGAAAATGGGACAGCGCAAGTCTAGGGGCAAAGACTTTAAGAGAGATTATGCTAAAGCAAAGCTAAGAGAAAACATGGGACAGAGAAAATCTAAGGAAAGAGGTTTTAAAGAATAAAGAACAGAAAAGAAGACTTTAAAGTTAAGGTTTTAAGGAAAGACTTTAGAAGCAAGGTTTTAAAGAACTGTAAAGGATAAGGCCTTAAAGAATAAAGGTAGAGAAAAGCAGAGGAAATGAAGAGAATAACAGAGAAAAGAAGCAATGAGACTGCTGGGCGTCTCCATGCGAGCACCCAACACACCTGGCCCAACTTTCTGTCTGTCTATCCTTTGTCTTTTCTGCATCTCCCGTTGCTGCCCAGTTAGCCCCAGTTAGGTTCAGTAATAACAAAGGAGCAAGAGAAAACTCACTTCAACAAGGAAGCAAGAAAAAGCTCGCTCCAGACCACTGTGCACCTCGGGCTTGGCTTAGAAGCTAGCCCTTGGCCACCATGCTGTGTTCATGTTAGCCCTCATGTAGCATCTAGGTCCTTCTGCTGAGCATCCTGGATTAATTTTTGGAAGGCATTTGAATAACACATTTTCCATCCTTCCCTTCTGTTCAAGACTGATAGTATCATGGCAAAAGGGGACCATGAGACACCCTTTGACTCTTCCCATTTGCCTGCTAATGTCCTAGCCTTCCCTATGGAGTTGGGACTCTTCATCTTCTCTCTGTTCAATAGTTGTGACAAAAGTTTGGCATGGCAGTACACACCTGTAATCCCAGCACTCAGAAAACTGAGGCAGGAAGATCTCCAGCTTGAGATTAACTTGGTTACATGGCAAGACCCTGTCTTAAAGACAACAAGGAAAAAAAATCAAGAGCTAGGTGCAATGGCTCCCACCTGTATTCACAGCTACTCAGGAAGCAGAGATCAGGAGGATCAAGGTCCAAGGGCTGGTGGTGCATGCCTGTGGTCTCAGCTACTCAGGAGGCATGAGTAGGAGGATCACAGTCTAAGGCCCACCCCATGGCAAAAATGTGAGACCCTATCTGAAAAATAAAACAAAAAGGGCCAGGAGCATGGTGCAAGTGGTAATACCACCTGCCTAGCAAGTGTGAGGCCCTGAGTTCAAACTCCCAGTACCTTCAGAAAAAACAGAAAACAATTGTGACACTGAAATGCCCAGACTCCCCCATTTCTCATAGACCTCCAAGGTGCCTCTATGCTGACCTTCCCTGGTGCTCCAGGTTTCCAGGTGTCTGTGGATCTGATCGCAGTTAACATTTTCTGTAGATGATTATCATCATAGCATCACTTAGCTTACTAAAGTAAGGAGGACCAAATACTTCTGAGGTATTTATAGCCTCTTTGAAAGTCACTTAGGTCAGCAGTTTCCATGGTCTACGTGCCTCTCTAGCATCACCCCCAGGAGAATTTAAGCACTGGTGCCTGAGCTCCTCACCTACCCCCATCCTGTGCAACTGCATCAGTCCCTCTGGGTGAGCCCCAGTGACACTGAGCCATGGCAAGTCAGGGAGTGAGACTGGCACTGACTCCTCATCTCTTAACTAGCCAGGTCTCCGCCTGCTTTCTTTTTGTTTGGAAGCAAGCAGGGAAAAGAATCCCAACCTGGCCCCTTTGTCTCTACCAGCTCCCCTCTGGAAGGTCACTGGGGAAGAAGGAGGCTGGAGTCTATGGTTCTGGAAGCAGTCTGCCACTCCAATCTGCTCCCCAGTCCTCACAGGTGAGGGTATGTACGAGCTGGCTTTAAAAATAAATGATCCATTGTTAAAAGAAGGGGAAAGTCCCATGGCTTATTAAACCTGCTGCTAAATTTAGATCTGGAGTTGAGGTCCTTTTCCAGTCAGCTGACTCAGTTCCCTAGGTGTGAATAGCAACAGCCCTGGGGTACGGGTTAAGCTTCCCCCTTACCTTGAAATGTCTTAACCTTTCAGAAGGAGAACTGATTATGATAAATGTAGCAGGAGTGCATTCAAAGGAAGCTTGCCCGATTCTTTGGCGGGAGCTGCGTTTTTCTCTAGTTAACTGTAAACACAGCAGCTCCATACTCTCATTTAGCTCCAACAGCTGGGGATTCGGTATCTCCTTAATAACCCCACATTCATTATAAACTGAAGATGGCTTCTACAGTGAGAAAATAGGAAAACAGACTTCCACGTGTTCCAAAGCATGCAAGGAAGAAAAGGAGGCTTCTGGTTGAGAACTCATATCACAGGCTTTCTCTCTACCAGCAGTGGGAATTGGGAGGCAGAAAGCTTGGTTTCCTGTTGTT